CAAAGATTATAATCCAAATCCATCATCTTTCGCTTCTTTTCTTCCATGTTCTATTTCATCCGATTATATTCTTCCTAAATTTATCAAAAAGCTATTGCCAGATTCTTTTTTTTTTATCTTTTATATTATAACTTCTGGTGGGTTTATTTCCTTGAACCTTTACCAAATGTTTCTACGAATGGTTTTGGTTTTTCATGAGCGAGTTCTAACACAATTGCCACTAAATATATATTTATCCTTTTCTTCTAGCAACTCTTCTTTAAACCATCTTCTTGAAACCATACTGACATGAAATTTTAAAGGTTTGCTCTCTTTTTTAAAAATTCAAAAAATGTAAGCGCGATTTAAAGTAGCATGCAGGCACATATATATGATACATCAGTGAACACAACTACATATTGGTTTTTGTATGATCTATAATGATACGATTTCCATGATTCTAATGGTTTCCAAGAATAATTTTTGTAAAAAAAAAGCTCTTGCATATAAAATATAAATTGACCTAAAATAATACGCGTTTAAAAGTTGGTGGAGATAATGAACTTGTTGTGAATATATATATATATGAATTGAAAAAAAAAAAATAGATCGTCGTTAGGTTTCTATTCAAATAAGGTTTATTTGAATTATTTGTATTTAAGTTAGGAGTGTTCAACGAAACCGAAAGTGTATCGTGAGTACTTCAAACATTTACAAGTCGAAACCTAAACCGAAATTCAAAAACTTAAAAACTAAACCAAAAGCCAAACTTTTGACTAAAATCGCTTATTTTATCAGAATTCTTTGATAATTTCAACAAACTATCAAAATTATTATAAAAAATCATTATAAATTAATCTTAGCTTTTTTCTAGCCTATTTTCTAATTATTTTTTGTTATTGATTTTATTATTAACGGTTTCTTCTCATCTAAATATCATTTGTTTGTATCACCACAAGTTGCAGGTTAATTTTGGTATTAATATTAGTCACCACTGTATCAAGAAGTCTTTCTGAAATTGCTTTTATATTCGATGGTGCATAGGCAGGCCTAAGTTGTCTAAGTAACTCAATAAAATATAACACTAAAGATATATCACATAATATAAATGCCCTGATTAATTCTCTGTTAATATTATCATTCCTTTCTGTGGTTAATTTTGTACTTTTCTAGAACTTAATTGTTCTTGTTTATTAAAAGAAATTTGATTATTTTTAACAGTTTTTTTCAATCGCTTCCAAACGATACTCGCGAAGCTCTCTATTGGAACCAGTACATTTGTCAAATGTTTTTCAAGTTTCCATAGATAACAACCTATAACAAAAAATTTGGCATAGCAACAAAGTATAGTGAGAAATTACATGAACATTATCTTATTGGAAGTAAATTTTTAAATGATTTTGATTTATATGTCCTAAAATTATATATGAAAACTTAGGCTACATAATTAATAAAAATAGGCATTCAGATAATTTTGTCCAGGAAATACACAAAATTAAAAAATACAGACAGGACCCTTCTGTACATTTGTGATCTATGAAATATACAGAACCCTTCCCTTCGAAATATCCAGAACTTCTCTGTACATTTATGATCTTCAAATTATACAAAATCTTTCTGTATATAGGACATTCTTTTGTGATTCATAAAATAGAATCTTTCTGTATACAGTTGGCGCTCGATATAAGGAAGAGTTTGTTTTGGCAAAAAACTTCACTATATAGTGTGATTCATTATATAAAAAGATCGGCAAATTTTTATTTTTTTGATATTATATACAAATACATATATTAATATTGATACACAAAAAAAAAATAATAAAATTCATTAATTTTTAGTAGTAAACCAACGATCCAATTTGCTTTGTTTTTTAGAAGCAAGAGAATATTTGGATATATGACTTTTAACTGATTTTATCGATTTAATGTGTTTTAATTCAAAAGTAAGGTTTTCAGGTGGATTTTGAATATAAGAAAGGATGGTGTCTAAAGATTTTAATGCATCTTCTGTAGTAATTTTTTGTTCAACAGCTACTAATTCATCTTCTGGTTCAGATTCAGCAGTTGGTTTTACATAACTAATAATTTCTTCATCGGTATTTTCAACACCAAACTCTTGAATTTCTTCTTCAATTCTAATAAAATTCTCTGCGCTCAATTTATCAGAGGCTTCAACACTCCCTAATCGATTAATTAGATTTTGAAGCTCATCATATTCTTGAATGGTTTCTATTTCCATGGCATCATCTAAATTAGGTATTATTCCTGACTTCAGCCAACAGTTTCTAATAGTCTCGGGTGTCACATTTTTCCAAGCTTTAGCACAGAGTGTAATTGCATCAGAAATTTTAAGTTGTTCAATGGGAGTATTAAGGCTTTGATGTAAGTCATAAGCATCAATCCTGTTCATAACAAGCAATTTTCTATAATGGACCTGAAGAAATGATAAAGTGAATATTTGAACTAATAAAAAAAATTTTTTTTTAAATTATATTTACTTTAAAAGAATTTATAATTCCCGCATCAGCAGGTTGTAGATGAGTAGTTGTATTAGGAGGGAGATGATGAAGTGTAATATTCGTTAAAAGAGTACTTTCATCAAGAATGTGGACTGGTGCATTATCAAACAATAGTAAGATGTTTTTGTTTTCTTTAACCATTTTCTGATTCAATTTTTTTAAATATTGATTCCAGATGGAGACTTGCATCCAGGCTTTTGCATTCCAATAGTAATCAACTGGAAGCTTTGACTTGTCAACACCAAGCATGTCTCTTGGTGTTTGATACTTATGGATAAATAAAGGTGGAAGTTTAACAGTCCCTGTTGCATTCATAGTCAATAAAATGGTTATTCTTTTTTTTGATTTTTTAGTACCAGGAAGAGGTCCAGTTGATAACGTTTTTGATGGTTCCAAATCCCAGAACAAGCCTAATAAATAAAGTATTTAGTAAATTTAATAAATACTATAATTATATTAGAATACTTTTTACCAGTTTCATCACAATTATAGACATCTTCTAGGGGAAATTCACTTAATATTTCTTGCAATTTTCTTCTTTCTTCAAAAATGATTTCTTCAGAAGGCGCAGAACTTGCTTCACCATGTAAATTATATTGTTTTATACCATTTCTTTTTTTAAAATTTGAGACCCAACCGTCTGAGCCTTTAAAATCATTGATATCA